GTAGTTCTATCGAAACAACAAATAGAGCAGTGGACAACCTCAAACCACCCAGTACTGGCACCTTTGTTCAAAACGCAACATTGAATGTTTGTATAGAATGTTTGTACCCATTTTATTAATGAAGCCCGAAATTAAATGCGTCTAAGGCTTTATACATAAATGACCATTCCAATGAATTGAATGCTTTAGTATAGTGTAGAAATAATAGTGCACCTTGGTTACCAGTTTCTTCGCACCATTCGATAATGTCACAAATTAGACAAATATTATCTGTAATACGTCTGCCTTTTTTAAAGGCTGACTGATCTTAATGGATAATAATAGGTAATACTTTCTTTAGTCTTGCTGCTATACAGCGGCTTGCAAGCTTATAATCTATATTTAGTAGGGAGATTGGTCTCCAGTTATGTATATGAAGTGGGTCTTTTTCAGGCTTTGGCAATAAAGTAATCACTGCTTGTCTTTGTGTTGCAGAGAGAGAGAGAGAGAGAGACATTGTTGTAAGTATAATTTATGCACGCAAGAAGACAATCACTGATATTTTTCCAAAATCGCAAATAGAATTCGGGCGGAATTCCATCACAGCCGGGGGTTTTATTCGTAGGACTACTCTTAAGAGCTTCAAATAACTCGTCTTTAGTAATTTCTCCTTCGCAGATATTTGATTGCTCATGATTGAGCCTTGGAATATGAGCAGTTTCAAGGAAGCTATAACTATTCTCATTAATTTCCAAATTTCGTTTGGAATATAAATTCTCGTAAAATCTTGCAAGGTGTACAATGTTTCTTACCAATACCAATTTACCCGTGACCGAATAATAGACCCCTGTATTTGTTGCGCAATCAACTTTTCCAGTTCATTTTTCACTTGCTCATATTGCAGCAAAATGCTTTAATCAAGGGTTTCATCAATACGCTCTTCGAGTTGTTGTAATTTTTTATTTAAGTTGTTCTCGTTGTTACGCAGATTCCTTTGCTTGTTTTTACTATAGATAATGGTTTTCTCTCTGATTTTGAATTTTAAATATTCGAATGTTTGTTGAGCATTGTAACTCAAAATGTGACACTCTCTGTACTGAGCATCAATTTGCGCGTTATAAATTTCACCGTTTAAAAGGCTATTATTAAACTTCCAAAATCCGGGGCAATCCGTGGTTCAGACTAGGCTAGCTCTGCTATCTTCTGTTCCCCTTTACTCATCTTTCTTTATGTTCCTCGTATATTCAAATACGTGGAGCATTATTCATTATGGGTAAATAAATAATTATTATAAAGTAGAGATACACACCTATCTGCTAATAACGATAAATGGTTTTGGGTAATAAATGTCAAGCCGAGATTGCCCTCGCGGGAAGGTTTTTCAACTCCTGGCAATCAAAAAATACTTCATACGACCAAGTACTAAAAATATATGGATCTTCAAACATCTTCTCATTATAGTCAATTGCCCAATGATTTGGTATAATTATGGTGTTTGTGGGAATATCATGGCCCCCAGCCGAGGTTTCACGAGCAGTGCAATGAAACACACTCGGGGGCAAAGGGCTGTGCATGCGTAAAGCTTGGTAAATAGCTGCTTCAACATACGGCAGGTTTTGCCGGTCACTGTAGACTGGGAGTCAGTCACGACCAATAATCTCATCCAGTTCTTGATGGATCTTTGATCCATTTATACCATATACCAACAGAGAGTTTGTGTAAACAGGCGTACAATACAATGTAACTTACCATAACATTTACTTAATTTGGTTAATGATAAATGTGGACTTGACCCAACTTCCAGGATATTACCAATCAATGGCCAGCCCTTTGGCCTATTTGGTAATAGTGATTGAGACGACTTTTTCCACAGTAACCCAATACAGATTATTACCATAGCTGTCAGTGTAAAAGTGATCATGGCTGTGATCTGCAGATGATCTGTAAAATAGAAATGAATTCATTACAATTAAGTATCGATCAGTATTTAACAATTTAAATTGGATTAGTTGGTGTTTTCAATCAAGGTTCGTGGGCACTTGGAAGTGATTTTTTTGTGCTTTTTCTTACCCAGACAGTCTTGGCTAGATAGATGCATTTCGGAGCATTTTCAATGCTGGAACATACTGAAAAATCGATTTTAAACTATTGGGAACTGAGGCACGCGTATTTAATTGACATTCCTGAAAGTTTGTTTACATTGCTTTTTGACTGACAAGTCACTGTTGATGTTATATGCAAATGAGTTACTGGTCTCAGTTACGGTGTGAAATAGTGTATCAAATAGTGCGGAAAGTCGTTTCAGGATTGAAGTCAATCCATTAACTTGTACATGGTCAAATCGGTAAGTAAAAGATATGTGTGAGATATCGCATGACTACCGAGACAGTATCCATAATATCGATCGACGCCGAAAGCTGAGGTCGATATTATGGATATCGTCGAGGTAGGAATGCGATACCAAACATACACAACGAGAGGATGTCCCTCTGTTATAGAGAAATAACCCTTAGAACCTAATAGAACCGTTCAAAACCTTTTGTAATGAAGCAAGTGGGCGATATCAGCACTGAGTTTTAAAATGGTATAGTCCCCTATTGATACACAGATTTTGTGGAATTCGTCATTCTCACCTGGATGCATATTAGTTTTATACAACCAATCAAGCCACGGACATTTGGTATTCACATATTGAAGTTGTTTGATTGGCCACATAATATCGGCTGAATGTGCGTATAAATGCAAAATCACACATGGCCAACTTTCCCCAGTTCTCATTGACGTGCATCGTGGAGAGATGGAAGCATATCCTACTTTCCGACGATGACCTAATAGAAGCAACGCAGGCGGCTGAATATTTGAATCAGCTCGGGTTTGATAATGTCGATATTGAACCGGGTACTGTTCCACAAGTAAGTATTTTCTCACTTCAATGACTACAATTTACTGGTTAATCATATTCTTGTATTAAAAAAAAAGCAAACTTGACTTTACATGCAACTTGTTTTATCATATTGCAGGGAACCCAGAGTGAACGGTTTTGCGAACCAGTGTCGGATTCTGCTGTACGGGCCGTCACTAAGAATTCAATACCAAAAAACACAAGGCGACATGTGGGCTCTGTGTACTTTTAATGAATGGGCGATGGTACGACTGGAATTAACGACTGATGGAAATTTATGACTGTATCGAAGTAATGCCCGTTATTTGGTTAAGTAAATTCGTTCTAGACGTGCGCAAAGTGGATGGAAATTGTTATCCTCCAAAAACATTGTTATCTTTGATCATGGGTTTGCAAAGCTACCGTTGTTCTGAGCTGCAAATGCCTCTAAATGTTCTAAATGATAAAGAATTCCAGGGTTTTCGTCAAGTGCTCGATTCAGAAATGAAAAGATTGTCCAGTTCGGGTTGGGATCAAAAACAAAACAAGCTGAGGTAATTACTAAAAACTAAACCCCGTTACTGTAGAAAATGAAGCTGCTATGAGACTATTCGCCCCGGGTTCTTGTTCGCACTATGGTATTTCTACACGTTGCCATCATTAGCAGAATGGAACATCGAGCTTCTACATTTTGACCCACCCAAATCACTTTACAGGAGTGACCAGGTGAAACGGCTTATTTGAGTAAGACCAAAGGCGGTAATGCATTATGCAAATGCTGAAAACCCCCCAACAATGCCATACAAGAAGTACACATCACTCTGCCCACCCGAGGTTAAACAAAGCATTCTACCTGAAACCCCGACGCAAATACGAAGAATTTGACAAGATATGGTTTACTAAGCAGCCGATGGGTCACAATTATATTCAACTCGTGGTGCCAGATTTATTCCGATCTGCTGGAATCGTTGGAAGCTTTACAAACCATAGTCTACATGCTACAGCTACGCACGCGACCAGTCTTTGAGCATATGGTGTTGATGAGCAATTCATAATGGAACGAACAGGACACCGCTGAGTAGAAGCTAACCAAACTTGAACTTTATTAGTATATTGCTATCACTGTAAACTAACTTAACGAAAGAAAGTAGCAAAGCACGTTTTTACTGGTTGATTGAATTTTAAATGAACGCATGATCACATGAAAAACTTAATTAAATTTAAATTATCTTGACAATGTTTTTTTAATCAACAGGTGTTCGCAGTTATAAATGCATAACACAGAACCAGAAGTAAGTAAGCGATATTTTGAATGGTACCGAAGCTGCTACAACCTCCAAGCAAGTAAATGTCGACCTTGATGAATTTTCCGACACGTCATCTCCTGCGGATATTGAAATCCATAAACTAAACACCCAAGAAGCTGGTGCTAGAATTGTTTACAACAATCACGTGTTTACTATTACCGGAAATATCTGATCAATTATAGCAGTATAATGTGTCAACATAATATTTGATTGAAAACAATGAAGGTTTAACCTGTTTGTGTAATTTATTCGGAGGTAGGTTGTGATATCATCCCTCGGCTTCGCCACGGGATGTTATCACGACCGTACCATCGGAGTGTCATTTCGAGGCATGATATAGGAAATGACACGAGACGAAGGTCTATAATATCGCCAACTCCCTTCAAATATCGCTTGAGTTGGAGGTTGTTATTCAAAAAACAACCTCAAAGTCTATTCTTATTTTGCGTATGAGGTGTGTATATTCATTGAAAAGAATTATTACCATTCTCTATTGGCAGGATCACTTTCAAGGAAGGCAGGAATTCTTTTCGATATCCAACATTCTCTCACTGTAACGGCGTTCAATGTTCTGTGTATATGAAAATTGGACTGACGTTTACAGAAAAATGGCAGTGTGTTTACTTGCTACGAGTGTTGTTGGTAATGTATCAATAAATGTTTGATTTATGTATTTGTTACTATTATGTAACGTGGACTGTGTCGCGTCATTGATTCAGTAACATTTAAATAAACATTGAGTTCCATAACACAAACACAGCCTATTATACTTGGTGCAGATTATGTTCCATGGGTGAAGGTATTCATGCAGTCGAAACTTCAGTATATGAAGGATGTATCTGACAGGCGTTACCGATTTCTGGAGTCCGAACTTGAACACCATTGCTACAATTGACAGAGAAAAACCCCATGACATTATTGATATGACTTTGATTGAAAGAGAAGATTCAGACATGAAAGCTGATGACATGTACAGCAATGCACATATAATACAATCACTGATAGATTTACTTTCTGCAGGTAAGGTGTAAAATCTAGTGTCGATGAATGTTTCATAATCATGCCATAAACAGTTCATTGGATTAACTTCCATCTTAAAACAATTTTTCTTCCTATTTGACAAAGATGTGTATTGTTACAATCCTTAATAAGTACACACAAAATGACACATACGTCCAATATTAATACGTGACTGTCTGTTCCCAGTCTCGTCAGATTTATTGGCAAACACTCGTATTGTGTTCATTATTGTGCACATAAAATAATGAAAAAAAGAATTCAGATAAAACTGACTGTAATAATTTGTTGACTTCATAGGTGTTGAAACTATCATATCGGCATCTAAATGGTGGTTAATAGAATTGATTCACCACCCAGATATCCAAACAAAAATCCATCAAGAACTGGACGAAGTTATTCCTGCAAACACCATAATTATGTCAAACCATTGGGCAATTGATCATGATGAGAAGGTCTTTGAAAATCCATATAGTTTTAATCCTTAACGATTCATAGACCCCAAAACTGGTTTATTAGTTTCATATAACAATATAAAATTTGCACCTTTTAGTATGGTTCGTCGTATTTGCTTAGGAGAAGTATTTGGTCGTATGAAGTATTTTTTGATTGCTTCCAATATTCTTCATCAGTTTGAGTCATATCACCCCAAACCATTTAAAATCATGGTAAAAAAAAGAAAGTGAGAAGTGAAGTATAATTTTTTTATAATTAACATATTACTTTACATTAAATCAACTTTTGTCATGAATTTAAAAGGACAGTGAATTAATTGCCTTTAGTTAATAAATATACCAGTATAGAATTCTAAATTTATCAGTGTTTACCTTCAATGATGCTCTCCACCATTTACAGAAACTCATTGGTATGAATAGAGACAATAAATACACTTACTGGTCCTAAATTCTTTCCGTAATATCTAGAAAGGCGGCGTAAATAGATCATGATTGGGAGGAAATGAACAATATCGTAGTTAATAGAAAATTTGGAACCTTTGCTTCCTGCGCTGCATGAATCTCGAAGCAGTAAACCAATTTTGCTGTTAGTATTAATACATTAACTACTCCCATGCCTAATAAAACTAACAATAGGTCACAATGTACACCAGATTTTTAAAATTACACATCAGGTTTTACTCCGTCGTGAGACAGGTTAGTTTTACTCTACTGATGCGCATCATCTATGTATATATGTACACATACATACTGTCCTCTTTATAAAGACACTGCTATATTAAAGTCGAGCATTAATTAATTAGCTGTGTTAAGTGCATTTTTGATTTCCCTGGCCCATCGTTTATGTTACCCGGTTCGTTATTAGCAGATGGGTACGTATCTCTACTTTATAATAAATATTTATTTACCCATAATAAATAATGCTCAAAGTATTTGAATATACAAGGAACATAAAGAAAAATGGGTCACAGAAGATAGCAGGGCGAGCCTCTTCTGAACCATGGAAAAAGTACTTGTGTAAGAAATAGTGACAGACTTGAATACAAAATATTAATTTTTAAATTATATCATATCAACTATGACCTTCAAGAAGAAGTAACAAATGTTGAAAGTGAATACAAACAACATAACATTCATATCTAGTGTAAGTGAAATATGTTAAATGTCATTCTATATTAAGACTGATAGTCATGAAGCATTTCAGTAATGATTTGTTAAAATATTAATTGGGGATGGGATACAATGAGCTTGTGGGCAAATATAAGACTTGCATAATGATCCCAGACGACATCGATTTCAAATGCAAACCCCTTGTTTCCTGAAGAAATCATTTGAGTATGCAACAAAACGATAATATGGCAGGATCTCTTTGAAACCCAAGACATCACGTTCACCTGCATGATCAGAACTGTGTTTACACTTGGAGGTTTAGTATAGTGAGCACATTGTGAGGCTTTTGTTTGTAAACCAATTAAGAAGGTCTCTCATGACAAAAGGGCACATCCCAAAAAGAACCACTGCTGGTTCACGACTTTACAACATACCGTCTATGCATTAATTGCATAATTTTGGATGCTTACATGCAACAAAAGCCCTCAAGAGTAGTGTCACAATACTGAATGTCATCTACCTTGACAGAAACAATGTTGACAACATCAGTGAACCAGCCAAAATCGGAACCAGATTGTTCTCAGAAATTGCTCATACCCAGAATTTGAAGATCAGTAAGGTAGGCAAACCAGAATTGGCAAAGAGGTAGAGGTAGAAAACGCGGACGACATGTATTGATACATTACAGTTCGTTAGAGGCAGATGTTCAAAGTACTCATTTTAGTACTTACTGTCTATCATCTAATTGTTGGGGACCTCCACAAATCTACTTATATTACATAGATGAGGCAAAGTAACTTGAATGGTTTAACATGTATAAACACACGTAGGTGTTAATAGGAAATCACAATATTTTTATATTTGTCACACATCATACACAAACAAGTTATTGACCACATTGGTTGGAGAAAAATTGAAATGTAAAAGATAAAACAAGCAGCCTAATATACATGCTGTATGTTATCTAAGAGTCTATTCATTGACGTCCATCAAATGTATCTAAACGTGTCAAATAATTTGGGCACTTGTTTAAATATAGTTCCGACGAAAATATATAAGCTACTTTGTATAGGAAATATTATTTCAAATTACTGACTATACGAATCTATTAAATGACAAGACTAGCTTTGCGATAACATGATTTTCAGATACAAGCACCTTGTTCTACGCCCTCAGTCACGATCATACCTCATTTGCTGGACCAATACATTGTATATTTTTGCATATTATCGATACAATTTTTTTTAATTGCCCATTGCTTTGTCGGAGCGTGACATAGACTAATGCACACAAGTCCTATGATGTATTCTTCTTGACCTCAACTATCATTAACAAAAGTGTATCTTTGTGTGCCCATTTTCTGAAGTGAAGCCAAATTGGCCAGTTTTCTTCGGTGGAGTATCGGAATTTGCAACCGACCAAACTAACAAACGCAGATAAAATATTGAAAATCACAATTTCAAGTGATGAGTGACGTTACCCCGGGACACTAGTTGGTGTTTTAGTTGCGCTACTGTGGCAATATAGTTGACACCACATAACACGGATTTCATCAACTAAGGGACAGTATGGGCGAGTATGGGTTATAATAAAAAAATTATAATAAGTTTAGTCAATAAACAATGCGGATCATCTTCTATTTGAAGCAAGATGTCTGTAGTCCATTCAAGTGGAACCGCATAACGGAGGACTGTTCGTAGGATATATCAGGAGACTAGGATAATTTGGACGATTCAGGTGTTTTGGATTACGGGCATAGAATTTCTGTATTGTAAAACAGACAGTTTCATTGGTACTATTTTATTTTGCTACTTTGTTCAGGAAGTTGGACACAATTTTATGAGTTGACTTTTCACTTTACCTAATGTTTGGCTGACTTTGATGTTCAAACGACTAATAAAATACTTGAATTGTGGTGAGCAGAATAGTACCTGCAGCTGGGACTCGGCTTTCTGTGTTTGGAAAAAGGAGATAGTGAATCGAAATAGTACATCGATATGATCCGGATAACACCAACGCACAATTTAGAGATGTTCATTTTTTTTTGAAAAACTTTAAGAGGTAAAAAATAAGTTAAAGTCACTTAATATATATATTACTCTTACACTGTTTGTCAGTAAATGAATACTTAAAAATACACAAGAACAAAGTGTAGGTAACAGTTTGTTGAAGAGCTGGTGTGCAGTTATCATGGCTGTCTTCAAAGTTGAAAATGTTTTATTTTGAATTGGTTACTCTGCCATGACTTCAGAATGTAGAAAGTAGTTAAGGTAGCAAAGCTGCATTTTTTTCATTATCAAACTCAGTTTTAATTTTGTAGACCTTATGTATTCGTGAATGCACACATACACACAGTTGTATTAAATAATGTCTACACATATTTGTTGTGGTTTAATAAACCTCTCACTCTGTGGGTCACTGTTTAATAGACGCTCTTACAAAAGAAAATTGAGATTACGTAGGATATGCAAATTACTTATCAACTGACAGGAGAATTGTTTCTAAGTGGATTTGTACTAATTAATAGTAAATTAATTATATAGTGAATTAAATTAAATTACTGTTTAGATGTTTTCTTCTCATGTATTTATGCAATTGCTGTACCCAAACCCAAGTAAAGTGCATGTCTCCAGTAACGTGTGCCACCTTATTTTCTCACTTTTCGGATTCTTTCGCTTCTTTTACTTGTTATGGTGCCCTGGATTATGTTTTTCAGGCTGCTGTGTCTGATGGTGTGGCTGGAGTATTTCTTATCTGCTTGATCATCATTGGTGTGGTTTTCTTGTTACCAAACCTCCTTCCATGCCACATCTGCCAATGTTTACATTTCAGAAGCTTATAACTCCTTTGTTGCTTACACTGTGGAGAACTTATTGCTATGACAACAACGATTGCAGTGGCTCTGAGAATGTAGGGCTTCAAGTGCATTTTCAAGGGATATTAGATTTATTGAACATTTATTTATTTTATTTATTTCACCAGAATGACCATATTTACAGAATTTAAAAAGTACAATAGTAATAATTCTGGTGTGGACCATGTCCAGTCTATGGCCCAGACTGCCAAGTAGAAATTGACAAAGCACTGGTAAAGGAAAGGAACGGAAAGGAACATTACTATTTACATAACGAAAAGTAATCTATAAGATTTAGGTATAAACATGAAGAAAATATAATAATATAAACTACTGGTACTACCAATTTTTAAGCAGAAGAAAAGAAAATAATGCAGAGAAGTGGGAAGTAATCAAGAAATTTAACAAGGCAAATAATGTTTCATTTCGTATTTAAATTTGTTTCTGTTGATAATTTTGAGTCTGGAAGTGAATTCCAGTGTTTTACTGCAGCAAATTTAAAATTATGTTGTGAAACTGTATGTCGAGTAACAGGAATTGACAAGTTACCGCTAGACACTGACATTGTGGGATAGCAATGTGCAAAATCATTTACATACTTATTGAGGCTGTGTGCATATCTGTTGTGTTTGAGGTCGAAGATAAATAGACAGGTTTGTAATTTACAAAGTTTGTGAATATCAAGTATGCGTAATTGAATAAAAAGAGGAGCGGAATATGCTTTAAAGTGCGAGAAGGTGATAAGACGCACAACCTTTTTTGTAAGAGCAGAACTGGTTTGGGTTTGTGTTTCCCCAGATTTCAATACAGTACATTAAATGTGGGGGAATGAATGCATTGTAAAATAGGATGAGAATTGATCTGGGAACATAGTGACGACTGCGAGATATAATGTCCAATTTGGGACTAATGGTTTTCACAATTTTGGCAATATGAGATTTCCAATTTAGGCATGAGTCAAAGGCTACTCCCAGATAGGTGGCTTTAGACATGACCTCTATCAACATATCATTGATTGCGATTGCGAGCTGTCCCTCTACATTTACTTTTCTTTGAGGGGTTTTCAGGATCAAATAGTTTGTTTTTTCTATATTAATTTTTAATTTATTAACATTGCACCACTGTACAACATTTCCAAAACCATTGTTAATATTAGAAAATTCAATAGTTAGTTTGCAAGAATTTAAATAAATTTGTATCATCCGTAAAGAAGCGGAAATTGAAAGCATCAGTGGAGTGGTTAATATCATTTATGTAGAGAAGAAAAAGTAAAGGCCCTAATATTTATCCCTGGAGCACCCCGTATTGAATCTGTCTGCATGTGGATGCTGTTCCGTCAATGTTTACTGTTTGGTGGATATTAGTTAGGTAGCTTCGGAACCACGAAAGCGGGAGACCCCTTATCCCACAATAAGCCAAATGTTCGAGGAGAATATTGTGATCAATATTATCGAATGCCTTTTTTAAGTCAATGAATACCCCAAATGTAACAAAACCGTTGTCCATGTTGGCAGTGATATCAGAAACAAGGTCAACTAGGACAAGGCCAGTACTGTATTTTTTCCAAAAAACATATTGTGAGGGCAAGAGGATGTTGAACTTTTTTTGGAAACCAAGAAGCTGATCATTTACAGCTGATTCAAAAATTTTACTGAATACGGACAAAATAGATATGGGACTATACTTGCCTACATCCAGGGCAGGCCCCTTTTTATATACTGGTGCAATATCGCAACTTCCTGTCGAAACTTTATCGGGAGCACCCCATGATTTAAGTATTTGAGGGGTGGTCATATTATTGCATTTATTGAAAATACTGTTAATTGTTATCCAAATCTTACTCCTATTTGCGGAAATAAATTTATATTTAAAAAAACGTTTTTTGCCAATTTTAACAATTTTGTATCATAATGATATAATTTTTTTTAAATATGCATTTACATCCTGACTTACTCATATTATCCTGAATGATCTTTTACATTAGAGAAAAGTGTCCGCCAGTTGGCAATCTTAGATCTGACAGCAAAATACCAAATTATATACTAGCTGTTTCCACTGATGTGCACACTCCCTCGAGTTGCAATATTTAAGCTGGCATAGTAAGGTCGAAGGTAGCAATTTCATGTCTTGAGACAGTTTGACTTGGGAGTTTGATAATATAATCAAGATAATCAAAAGAGCTTTGTCTAGGTTAACGGCCATGAGGAACAAGATTATGTGAGCTGGTCTTTATAGATACTTGGAGGTTTATAGACAAACAGGTAGGTAACTAGAAACAAGTACACTTGTCTATAATATTGTGTGAACAGTAAATTATCAGTGCGATAGGGGGTATGTCTTTGTAGTTTGGTCATTCACCTAAATCGCTTGTCTGGGTAAGGAGACCGAAAATTTGTCTTGTCCATATAAGACATTATATTCGTCATCGTGCATACGTCGGGGTAAGCTAAATATTTTTATTGCTTGACTTATATGAATTTGTTAATTGTGACTTTGTTTAATGAGTGGTTATTGTACTTTCAAGCAACATGTAGATTTATTCTAAATATAATCACAAGGAACACCTGTACAGTGGTGTGTACACAGTGTTGTGTGTGACGAGAAAACTACATATTTTAGGTTGTCTTGGGCTGACAATCAGAAAGTGCTGAAGTCCTTGTTATGAAGCCTGTGTGTTAGTTAGATTTTCGAAAGAAATCGTAAAAGGTTCTAGAACTTGCACCATTTTCACCAAAAACTGCTTTTTTTTTATCAAATTAATTTTCGACATACCATGAATTAAACTGTATTAAATTAATTCATAGGCTTTATGTAAAAATTTACCAGCCATATTGAAATATTAAATAAATTGGTGAAACTGATAAAACCATCTGGTATAATTCTTGATCTATTATACCCATTATATAATATTTGTAATCCCACTTGTAACCAATTAGCTGCAAACATGATCCAAAGTGAACGTATTTGCATGAAATATGGTGGTCAGCTATTGATAATGTCAGCTGCTAGTGATATTAGAACAGTTTCTAGTGTGACAGTGATTATTATTGAGACAGTTTCGAGTGCCCCCAGATATTTTTCCACATTCTTCTAATGCAGAAATACTATACATTTTATTTGCTTTAGAAATTATATCTCACTGTTTTTGTTGTGTATGATTTTGGGAACTACATTATTTCTATTGTAGACTATGGTGACACTTACAATTCATATGGCATAGATCATAAATATTTCTTAAATTGTTTTACACATGACGTTGAATATGGTATTTGCTGTTAACGAATGCCAACAATAACAAGTTGTGATCCGTTAATAGAAGTCCCCCAAAGTGACCTACATAGTATACGTCAGAGCAATAAAAATATTCGCTAAAAATATAGAATTCAAGATTTTGCTACACAATAGACATATTCGATAGTGGCTCCCCCTATTATCAAAACAATATAAAGGCTGTTAGTTTAGATTGAGAGTTAACGTTAATAATTAATAATTAATAATTTTATACTCTAGAGCTAGTGTTCGGTGACAAACATGTCGGTCACTCGGAACTTGAATTCCTGTCTGTAATATAAATACGTGTGAATAGTAAATTACCAGTACTTTGTTTGATCATTCACCCAAATCACTTAACTGGGTCAGTAAATTGAAAATCTGTCTGGTCTATATGCAAATATTGTATTGTGTTGTTTAGTGTGTAGACATCATAGGGGTAAGTTGAATATTTCTATTGATCGAATTAATATGAACTTGAATGTGTTTATTGAATCATTACCATACTTTTTGTCATGTAGATTTATTCTACATATATTCACAACAAATACTGCGTCGTGTCTAGAAAATTAAATACTTCATTTAGGTCGACATTAGACGACGTGACGTCACGTTTAGACGTCATGCTTGGATGGTTGAGTGACCTAGATACTGGATCACAATAGGCTAAAAGTCCTTTTGGTTGGGCGCGTGTGTTTGAATCCGGGGACGCACACTTAGCACCAGAACCATTTTTTGTTCATCCGAGAAAAACTGTTCGGTATATCAGATATATTGCTGCTGTCAAACCAATTGAATCTTACATTGAAAATATTGTGGCCGCAATTATATAAAAGCTTTGTGTGTTCATTCGCGTTAATAAATTTGGAAACGTTGTTATGATAAATAGTTGTGCACTATTTCCATGGTCAGCGTATACATCCGGGACACTTAAATCATTAGACAACATGTAATACAATAAAACATGTTGACTGAATTAAAAATATAATTGAATGTCCCATCAATTAGTCCAATTAACATTCTAATTAATTCCACTCTATTTTATTTTACGGATCATCTGCAGACCACAGCCATGATCACTTTAATACTGACAGCCGTTGTAATAATCTGTATTGGGTTACTGTGGAAAAATGCGTCTCAATCACTCTTACATAATGGGCCAAAGGGTTGGCCATTGATTGGTAATATCCTGGATGTTGGGTCAAGTCCACATTTATCATTAACCAAATTAAGTAAACGTTATGGTAAGTTACCTTGCATTGGGATTACTTCGCCTAGTACCTGAAGGACATATATGCCTGATTATACAAACACTAATGAAAAAGGATATTCATTTATTTGTTTTATTTAATTAAAAAGAAACATTATTAAAGGCATTATAATGATGGCAAGAAATATGACTAATACATTAGATGGCTCTGTGTGGTCCCATGTAACCTAATATTAATATGCATAATTGTATTCTCTTATGCCCTTTTTCGGAAAGGAGCATGCAACCTGTGCCATAATAATGACATTGAACACGAGGTATAAATAATATATTAGGACAACCGCCTCCGGACAAATTGCCCCACAAAATTATTATGTGTTATTTTTGACAGTGATTTTGACTATTAATAATTAGTTAACTACTAGGTGTTAACGGCAAAAAGGTGTTCATATAAATTCATAATACCTTGTCTAGTGTAATACCATGGACAGAATTACAATATATAAATGATTGAATAAATAACTCGGTAAATAGTTCGCAGGCTTCCCATCTTAATCATCGTATGCACACAATCGTACCTACGAACTTAGTTAAAGATGTATTTACGTCAGTATATAGAAAAAATTGTGAAAAACGAGATTGTGTTATTTTTAATCTTATGACTAAATCCCATGGTGAATTGAGGAACGCACATAGAACACATATAATTTAGAACGTTTGCTAAGTGAAACTATGATTGGTCCCTGTTGACCTTCTGTATAAAATCCTTGTCTTGCTGTGACACTCTGACGAAATAACTATCAAACGAACTGAGATATTTCAATCCACACTTGAAACGCCATCATCTGGAAATTATTGAGCATTACAAAAACGCAGTCAGCTGTGGTAGTACTCAATAATCTAGATCAGGTATAGCGATCATTGATGGTAAACGAACAAAGACTTATTATAATTAATGTCGACTAAGCAGGTTACAAACATGCGACATTCAAACATATGACCACAGCGTAAGCAGACGCAAATCGTTCAGTTCGTCACTCTATTATCATTCGAATAAATGTAATGAACACAAGTCTAATGTGACTAAATGGACATGGGCAAGCCTGATCCCCGATGTCAAAGACCACTGCTGAGACATAAAGTATTCGTTCGTATATCCTGTTATTATTTGGTTGCACCATGATGGAGACTTTTGTCTGATGTGTGTCACTAGACGTTAATTTCCATTAAATTTTAATGTAATTTTAAATTATAGAAAATCTTCTATAAACATTCAACATATTGCACCGACTGAGATGGATTGACACTGATATTAATCACCTTAACGCCCATCCAGACAGGGTGTGGCAAAATAAAGGTGTTCCCTGCTTGCCTTCTGCACATCAGGGACATTAATTATTTTCTTTTCTGCCCAGTATTTTCTCGAAATATAATGTTAGCGCTGTGGCAGAACAATTTAGGTGCTTAACGTGCTCTTCTAACCCAACATAAATACGTGAGAATGGTATTGTGATGACAGTCTGTACTTCAATAAATATGCATACTTTTTTCTATATGTCCTTAAAACATGTTAACATTTAGCCATGCAGCCAATATGATTTTATATCTATTTGGTCAAAAATTAAAGGACAGGAAGACATGTTGACTTGATGATGATGATGTTGTTCATATTATGAACACGAATTTTTTAGTAACCAGTTCTAGAAAGTTGTCTGTATTATCTATTGACATATAAGAAATCATCACACGACTCCCACTATATCTCTATCTTAACCATAGGTGATGTGTACAGCGTGAAATTGTTTACAACTAATGTAGTTGTGATTAACTCATACAAGGCTCTGCAAGAAGCCATGATCACCAGGGGATCAGACTTTGCTGACCGCCCTCAAAATTTTACCACAGCGAGAATTATCACTGATTATAAAGATATTACATTTCAAAATTACACCGATCAACTAAAAAGACATCGGAAGATCCTACAGACTGCGATGCGTGCAAATGGTACCAAGGGATGGCAGAAGCTCATATCAAAGGAAATTGATAAGTTCTTAGGTATTTTTAAGTTGCATTTGCTCAATACTATGTTGTGTCGTGTCATGTTGTTACCTCGTGTCTGTATGAATGATTAGGGAAAGTAACAAGACATAAATGTTACAGTCCCCATCTTAAAATACATATCCTCAAATATCATAAACACACTAAATAAAAGTGGATATGCTGTATTACATTTTGTCACTATGAACAGTTTCATTCATATGCAACTTGCCCAGTTCACTTGTAGGACTTTTGCGAATTCAGTTTATTCAAACATTTGAAGACACAGTGATTCTTGTGATCAGATTCAATGACAATAAAATTGACATTTAAATCAAATTTAAACAAAATCAGTAAAATTAAATCTGCATGGGGAACAGATAGGATGTATACATTTTGAATCAAATCGTGGGAATGATTGACGTAGCCGACATGAGTAAAGGCACTAAATTAGAATTTGAAACAGATAAATCTGGGGTTCCCGAAAAACGGATAAAAATAATAAAAATGGCTGCGTGTCGGTCAATATGGATTAAATTGCGACTAAAAATAATGTTCTTCAGTGTGAATACCAATAGGCCCTTTAAGATAAAAATAATCGCCTGACGACAAACGTCAATATAATTACAAAGGTGTCATTTGTGGACCATTACGATTTGTCTTTGTACCAACTTTGAACAAACTCACATAAATCATCACATTCAAGTGATTATATTCATCGAAAACAATTACTTGTTACCATTCTCTATTGACAGAATCACTTTCAAGAAAGGCAGGAACTCTTTTTGATATCGACCATTCTCTCACTGTAACATCGTTCAATGTTGTGTGTGATATGGTAATTGGACGGACGTTTACAGAGAACGATATGGAATTCAATAATTTCCAAGATGCGACCAGAGAAGTGACAATGTGTTTACTGGCTACAAATGTTGTTGGTAATGTATTCAGTTTTGTCACTATTACGTAACGTGGACTGTGTCGCGTCAATCATTCGGTAACGCTTAAATAAACATATTGAGTTCTATAACACAAAAACAGCCTATTATGATTATGTTCCATGGGTGAAAGTATTCATGCGGTCGAAACTCCAGTATATGAAGGATGTATCTGACAGGCGTTATCGATTTCTGGAGTCCGAACTTGAACACCATATTGCTACATTTGACAGAGAAAAGCCCCGTGATATGATTGATATGATATTGATTGAAAGGGAAGATTCAGACATGAAAGCTGATGACATGTACAGCAATGCACATATAATACAATCACTGATAGATTTACTTTCTGCAGGTAAGGTGTAAAATCTAGTGTCGACGAATGTTTCATAATCATGCCATAAACAGTTCATTGGATTAACTTCCATCTTAAAACAATTCCCCTTCCTATTTGACAAAGATGTGTATTGTTACAATCCTTAATAAGTACACACAAAATGACACATACGTCCAATACTAATACGTGACTGTCTGTTCCCAGTCTCGTCAGACTTAATGGCAAACACTCACATTGTGTTCATTATTGTGCACATTATATAATGAAAACAAGAATTCAGATAAAACTGACTGTAATAATTTGTTGACTTTATAGGTGTTGAAACTGCCATATCGGCAACTAAATGGTTGTTAATAGAATTGATCCACCACCCGGATATCCAAGCAAAAATCCATCAAGAACTAGACGAAGTTATTGGTGGTGACCGTCTCCCAGTCTACAGTGACCGGCAAAATTTGCCCTATGTTGAAGCAGCTATTTATGAAGCTTTACGCATTCACAGCACTGTACCTCTGGGTGTTTTTCGCTGCACTGCTCGTGACACCTCGTTAGGGGGCCATGATATTCCCACAAACACCATTGTTATACCAAACCATTGGGCAATTGATCACGATGAGAAGGTCTTTGAAGATCCATATAGTTTTAATCCTCAACGATTCATAGATCCCAAAACTGGTTTATTAGTTTCATATAACAATATGAACTTTGCTCCTTTTAGTATGGGTCGTCGTGTATGCTTAGGAGAAGTATTTGGTCGTATGAAGTATTTTTTGATTGTTTCTAATATCCTACATCAGTTTGAGTTTGTTGTTCCTCCGGGAGTTGAAAAACCTTCCCGCGAGGGCATTCTGGGCTTAACATATCACCCCAAACCATTTGAAGTCATGGTCAAAAAAAGAAAGTGAGATGAGTGAAGTATAAAAATAATTTTCATAATTAACATATTACTTTACATTATATAAGTTTTCAATAATGTTCTATACAATTTACAGAAACTCATTGTGAAAGTGATTACGTTCTGTGATATCTAGAAACTCGAAATTTATCATGATTGAAGGAAATCTCAAGGATGATATTCGTTACGCAATAGTAAACTTCTTTTTTTAATGGGAACAGGTTTGATGCTCTTGATCTTTTGCAATAATAACATCTGGTTTACTGTGATTAAGAAGCAGTAAAAATAATTTAGATTCATATATCGCATATAGTTTTATTAGGCTACGAGAATATCACTCACTGTAGGTTATAATCTACACCAGATTTTGTAAATTACTTGCACTACACTATGTCATCTATATGTATATATCTGTCCTCTTTATAAAGAGACACTGCTTTTATAATAAAGTCAATCATTATTTGCTAACTGAAGTATAACTGTTGAGCGTGTTTTTTATTTCCAAAAGACCATTTTTAAAGACCAAACGATGAGTGTTAGAAAATATCGATCATCAGTGTAAGGCCTGCTTATTGCTATTAAGACTGGCACCCACAGAACTCACACTAAACAGGGGGTTCTTTCACTGCTAGAATAGGGTAGACAAGATAATAGTACTGGAAATGAAATACACATACACCAAGTTAAAGCTTTGATACCTCTCACAATATTTACAAGAAACAAAGCAGAGACAAATACAATGAATAAATTCACTAAAATAGGGGATTGCCTAAAGAAGTGTGCATGGGTGATTACTCACAGTTCCAGGATGTGGAGGTTGATGACAATCAATGGCTTTTGCAACACAACGACGAGGAAATACAGGAGACTTGATTGCAGAGGAACGCTGTTATTCTGGTTGAAATGGTAGACCACAACTGTCCTCAGTCTAGCCTATTTATAGGCATAAATTGCCCAGATTCAGGCACACCATCTGGGTTTCCACATGAGCCAATCAGAATGTGGACTTGCTAGCAGCTGTCTCGCGTAGGCAAGTCAGAAGATTGTAAACATCCTTTGTTATGTAAATCACAAGCACGCCTGGTAGATTCCAATTATCCTTCCAGAGTTGTAAACATCCTTTGTTATGTAAATCACAAGCACACCTGGTAGATTCCAATTATCCTTCCAGAGTTGTAAACATCCTTTGTTATGTAAATCACAAGCACACCTGGTAGATTCCAATTATCCTTCCAGAGTTGTAAACATCCTTTGTTATGTAAATCACAAGCACACCTGGTAGATTCCAATTATCCTTCCAGAGTTGTAAACATCCTTTGTTATGTAAATCACAAGCACACCTGGTAGATTCCAATTATCCTTCCAGAGTTGTAAACATCCTTTGTTATGTAAATCACAAGCACGCCTGGTAGATTCCAATTATCCTTCCAGAGTTGTAAACATCCTTTGTTATGTAAATCACAAGCACACCTGGTAGATTCCAATTATCCTTCCAGAGTTGTAAACCTCCTTTGTTATGTATATCACAAGCACACCTGGTAGATTACAACTGTCCTTCCAGAGTTGAAAACAAGTATGACCTTTATGACAGTTATCACACGGCAATGCACACCATTTCTTCCCATGATTCTATGCACATTTCTATTTGCAGGGTTTGAAGTAACATGACAAAAACATAGAATAAAGGATGCTGACACTGTGCTAACTCCTCTTGAAAACATCTTACACCACTTCGTTTACGTACTGTGATGCATTTGTTAGTTTTAAAGGATTGTCCAGATTGTTTGTCAGTCCATTTCTCATCTTGTAAACATCCATAAAAATACTATGAATTTGAGCATCTTTTGGTACGTTGTTATTTTCATTATTCATACCTGTGACATTGAGGTCTGGCCAACATCATGATTGTTGTTTATATAAATTCATTGGAGATTCTTCAAATCCTTTTCACACATGTTCAACATGCATAATATTTTTTAAATACTATCATCAGTTGTTATGGCCTCTGTTAAGAAAGTTGGGAGGCTTTTGTTTAAAATTGTGATTCAGGAGGTACCAGACCGACCCAGCCCTTCAAGACTTGAATTAAGAATTGTTGTCATTAAGTACTGTTGGTGGTTGCTCATCCTGTTCGATATGTGACCCATATCGACATATACAACACATGTAATTGACATTGCTCGACAACCACTCCCACTTAATTAACATTCAGGCAAGTTTACCAGTAAATGCCATAAATGCCAAACCAGGTCCTTCTTACAATATCATAAATTGTGATCGCGTTCATACTCGAAAATATAAGTAGAACAGCAATTCAAGCAGAAATCGGAGGTGAGAGAGTAGTATGTACATTGTATTCTGTCTGTCTTGTATACTTGTTAAACGTCAGTCCATAACGCATACAAAAAGTCACACTAAATTACATTTGAAGGGATTTGTAGAGCAAATACTGATTTGTAGTGTAGTGATGTGATAGATAATCATTTAGAATTTTATGACATACTGGTATGAATATACCACACTGAATCCCACTGTTAGATAACATTTCTTATTTATTATACTTGAGGATAGTGGTCACTCTGACGCACCATGTGGGAGCCATGTGACATATACAATGTGTATGAAATTTGAACATGTGCTACTCGATTACCACAATGTTGTTTTTATAACTCAGAGAGTGGCTAGTTATTATTAAAAAATAGTTAAAATATGTTTATTTAGTAAAAATTTATAATCATAGACTGTGACTTCTGTAGGCACCATTTCCATCTGTGGAGTGCGTCTCATCTTTTTTTTGAAGCAAGATATATAGTCCATCCAAGAGCAACTGCATTACCAAACAACACACGATACTAAGATAGACAAAAATAGAAAAAATTCTTGGTACATAATTAAAACAATATTTTCGGGGGATCAGATTGAAAATGACAAATGGCCATATTAGAGCCAAAAATGACCTATTATCTGATTATGAATTCTGTTTGAACAAAGAATAGGTGCGATTTCATTAGGGATGTGGCTTCTAATACAGGTACTAATTTATGAAAACACTAAAGTGTGTACTATCCTCGGGGGCGGACATCCGGGCATTTTCACCGCTTGGCAACACTGGCGGTGAAAACAAAGGCCAAAAACTCTCAGAAAACGGTACTTTGGGATGGTTGTTGAGACTCCCCTGAACAGTGTAACAAGGTTAGTCCTGCATGTGTAACATATATAAACTTGGTTGTTCAGGATTACTTCAAAGTTGAGTTTGTGTTGTTTTCTCGAATTTTGACCAGCTCGCCCCACACAGAGCCCATAGAAATGCATGTACATTAAATTGTTGTTGGATTGTCCGGATTATAAGAAACTAGTTGTGTGTCTAAATATACATGAATGTATTGTGTATTTCATTCATTATAATAGTATATATTGACAGCCTATACTGAAAGGTAGGTTTTGTAGCCCAATTTTAGACGAATTTAACTCTACATGTATAAATGAAAGTAAGTTGTGTTACATGCCCCAGATGTGACCTCTAATGGCGTACTGGCCTTCCTGGTGATTATACGTATAGAGGTGATAAATGTACAGGGTTGTAAACCAATTATCTGTGCAACAGTATCACTGATACTCAAGGTTCAATCGAGTGTTTCCTTGTGATCCTGCTGATAAGACACATCCATGTAATACCATGGTTTAGTCCAACGGGAAAAGAAACTATGTAATACAGTTGCGAAGGTGGATTTGCAATGCTTCAAATGTGTGAACTCCAGTCACCACTCACGTTCCATTCACTTGGGTGTCCAACACCGCTGGTCGCTGTATTATTTCATCCATTTACCAAGATGTGACATTTTTCGGAAGATACTGGTACACTCACACTAGTTAGTCCTGGGATTTCAGTTATTAATACAAGTTTTTTAATGTATAGAAACTATTTATTTCACTGGTCAGTTTTATTTCTCTGATATTTTACGAATTATTATGTGAAGAGTATTGGATATTCTCCTTATCAACCTTGCTGTGGTGTGTGTAGTGCATGTTTTTGTTACCTTCACCTCTTACTAATTGTGTTTCTACATTGGTGTGTAGTGAAGGCCACATTTAGCACTAAGCTATTGCAGGGTAGAATAATATGGCAGGAGATAATCAACAATACCAAACATAATATATATATGGTATATAATTGTATTGTACTTTATCTATGCCAATCACTCAAACTATCCCTGTGTTAAACGAATTGTGTAATTTTAAATTGGTTACGTTTCCACAAACAAAGTGATCTTGCGACGTTAGTCAACATTTTGTTTTTGCCATTATAACTTGTCGTGATCATGACATACAACAATGCCTTAAAATACAACAGTTTACATGCAATTCGAAGGCATGCTACACAACGTCTGGTATTTACAGTGAAAATCACAGACATATAAATTATTTCTATGTGTAAATATGTCAGGATTGTAGACAAACTGCTAGGTAATCAGTTGTTCTGTTCTTACAACATCCAGTGAAATCTCAATGACTAAATCTTGGTGGTTTTCACTGTACGAGAAACCAAGTCATGTATTGCACCCTAGGATTGATTTTTGATATGTTACTGACAGTAAAAACAGGAACCAACCATGTTAATACCACCTAATCAAGAACAGAGCTCCCTCTGTTGACAAACAGTGAACAACATTTTTTAGTTGGTCAGTTGAGGGCGCACAGTGTGGATTTTTAAGATTGGATTGTGTGATGTGCCTCTGTTACCATGGCTTTTCATTATGTCAATACAATGTGATGAGATATAATGCTATGAGACCAGTCCATACTTTGCAGTACCTTATTATTATACATGTACATCTTTTTTCTGCTTGAAGTAATAGTTAATTGTGACATTATAGCCCAAAATGACAACTAAAAATATTTGTGCCGTGGGTAGTTTTGTGTTCAGTGATGAGATTCTAAACACTAAAACGATTTGGCGTCCAGTATTGAAAATAAACAATAAAAATATTGAATGTGTCAATGTAATGACATAGTTTACCCCACATAAATGAAAATTCCAATGTTCAAGTGAGTACCGATACATTTTAGAATAAGTGCTGATAAAAATTGTTATAAAAAAGGCAATTTCTTATGTTTTCATTGCTAGATGTACAATAATCAATAAAATTCTGTAAAACTAGGAGACGTTGTTGAAAATATACATAATATGGTTACAAATGGTATGCTAGATCGAGTGTTCACCTGATGCATATAGGTCATTGATGAAGTGCAACACTTAGCACTAACATATGTTGTGTCATAGTACCAGGATCCTGTATGTTCTCACTCACGTAATTTGGGATAAATTGCATTCTATTGTAAATTAGGCCACTTTCATGACCCATAAGGGTCACACATCCTGGTACTTTTGTTGTTATGACAGCATCACAAACATTTTAATGTATATTTTTATTCCTAACAGAAAAAATTTACTCGAGCATCTGAAACAAGAAGCCCAGAAAATTAAAGTGTTGAAATATCAATAAAATAATGACACTTTTAATATTTATACCAACAATTGTATCTTATATGGGATCTCTTGTCCTCAAATTTACTATTTTGATAAATATTTGGTTTATTGTTATACATATTTTTTAGTCCCTTAACCTTATTGAGGCCAGACGTTTTTTATTCCTTGTTTCTCGAGTTTGTAAAAGGCAAATTTTTTGAGGAGGGCGAAAAAAAAAAAAATTAATTCTTTTTTTCAATTAGATTTGTGTGATTCTGAAAGAATTGTAAGTGAGATAAATGAAATAAAATGTTATTCCATGTATAACCTTGTTTCTCATCTGCGCGAGACTCCAGTACTTTGATCGTGATACTCCCACGAAAATGCAACTTGGATTTGTTATGCGGCGGGCGATAACAAAAATGAAGATAATTTTAGTAATTTTTTGCACTTACAGATCAGCGGGCGCGAGAAATTACGCAGAAATAAAATTTTATTTCATTTTCGACTCCTGATCATTCAGCGGGTTTGCGAAACAAGAAATGATAAAAGTCTGGCCTGATTGAGAATTAAAATCTTAATTGTAAAAATATCATGTGTTTGGATCAGATTATGATTATTATCAGATTATCAGATTATTGCCCTGAACTATGCATTTTTTTTCTTTAGGATGCATACATTTTACTGTGTGAAACCCTTTCCACCCACCACCAGCATCTACATGTACCTTACAGAAAATAGAAATCACCTACCTGTCTTGGAATGTAATTAATATTTATATACTGTAATGGTGTCCATATTTTCCAGTTCATCAGTAATGCTGTTAGGAATGTCTCTTTGATTTTTTTAACTGAAGCAACATGACCTTTGCCCTATTAAAGACAAATAGTGATATTGGTTTCCCATAATGTCTAGAGCTTGTATTTCTGTTAGGGTATGCAGATTCAATCACCACAATTTCTATGAGTGGTGCACTTCATCCACCAATTATGTTTCTGTTCTAACTAAGTCTGGAATAATCATGGTATGATTTGGGTTAGCTGGCTTTTC